AGCTAAATAATTTTAGCTAAGGTTTTTAATGGAATTTGGTCAAGTAGCTTAGGTATAATAAATTCCCTTTGATAAAAAAAATGTAAACTTAAATAACTTAGTTCATTTTTTTTTTTGTGCTTAATGCTCCTTTCTAATTCACCTTATAAATGTGATACATGGTAACTCTAATAAACCTTAAGGGGGAAATTAGGGGGATTCATAATGAACTAGACTTAGGGATTTCGGAATCTTAACTAAAAATAAAATGACATATGAATTAGTAGAATAAATGACTCTTGGGTGAGAGCAAGGGCAGTGACCATTATATCTACTAGTCATGTGTAATCATTTAAGAGAACTTAATCTTAAGGTGTTATTATTAATTATCTTATTTATCATTGTAAATGGTTAGTAATAATAGGTTTACATGACGTAGACATAAGCATGTAGATAATTAAGTGCTTTTGATTAACAAGTTGTTTAAGATAAGTTAAATCAAAGAAAAGGCATTAACTCAAGTGAAAATGACTAAAGGAAGTTAGAAACTTTAGGCTTTTGTTATTGATTTTCTCTATAAAATTCTCTAATCTTTTCGTGAAATTGGCTTAGGTAAAGGAAGTGAGACTTAGTAATCAGTGCAAGTCCACACAAGACAATCCTCATGGGAATTCGACACTACTTACACTTGTCTACTTCAAGCAACTCGTGCATTTGCGAAATTTTGCTATCAAATAATAATTTTGACTTTGCTAGATTCACTTTCTGTCCAAATGCCTTGTAAAACTAGTCAAGAACTTGCAACACAACCTCCATTTGGTTTTTCGAAGTAATATCAAACAACAAAAGATCATCTACGAAACAAACATGAGAAAGAGAAAGCCCTCGACTAGTTAATAATAATGGTTTCCATCGTCCAAAATTCACTACTCTATTAATCAAGTGGGACAATTTCTTCATGCAAAGAACAAAGAGATATGGTGGCAAAGGGTCATTCTAACAAATGCCTCTTGTGATAATAAAGACTTCTGTTGCACTACCATTCCACAAAATGGAAAAAGTTGAAAATTTAACCACAAACACAATAAAATTAATCTATGCAAATGGAAACCCAATTTCCTCTAATACCTCTTGAAGGAAATGGCCATAAGCCTTTTCGAGGTCAATTCTAAATGCTAGCACACCCTCCTTTCTCTTCATTAGTCGCATGGTATGTATGTCCTCTTGGACTATGACAATATTATCTATAGCCTATCTACCGGGAATGAAGCTACTGTACTACATTGAGTCTTTCCAACAATATCATTAAGAAAAAGACCTCAAATGATCAACAAGAATTTTACTAATAATCTTCAATGGTACCATGCAAAGATAGATTGAACAAAATTATGAGATTTTTTCTAGAACCTTTACCTTAGGAATGAAAGAAATCAAAGTATGATTCAAATTGGTGGAAAAATTACCAAAAATATACATTTGTTGGACAACACTAACTATACCTACACCAACACTACTCCAATGCTTTTGCTAAAAGGCTATAGGAAAACCATCAAACCTTAGACATTTATTTGGATACATAAACTGCCATTCTAACTTCTCCATGAACAATCAGTTTTGAGATTTCCTCTAAAGCATTATCATTAAGCTTTCAATGAGAGTTGATTGGAAGAGATTCATGCATACTATCATCAATATAAAGATCTCAATAAAACTGCTTTGATACATGCTTCAACTTAGATTGATCATAGCACCACAAGCCATCATCTTTCTTTAGAGCATAAATTCGCTTCTTTCTTCTTTACCTTTAACCACTGCATGGTAAAATTTATTGTTGGCATCACGATTTTTTAGCCTTCCAAGTCTAGTCTTTTGAAGCCACATATTTTCTTCTTGATGAAGAATTACATTATATTCTTCAACTAGGGCGATTTATATTTAACAAGAAATTATTAGATCCACAATTCAGTTTAGCTTGAATCCCTTTAAGTCTTCCTAAGACCCTCATTTTTTGTTGTAAATATCACCAAATACATCATGTCACCATCTACCCATAGAATCAACAAAATTTTCAAGCAAGTCAGGAAGATCTATCCCTTCAATGCTCTAATTAGTTTTAACAAAGTCATTGAAATCCGAGTGTGACATCCAAGATAATTCAAATCTGAACTCCTTATTTGGTCGAGGACTAGCAACATTTTCCTAACAGATAACCAACATAGGAGTACGGTCAAAGTGGGTTCTTGGTAAATTTGACACTTGTGCATAAGGGAAAATATTTCACTAAGCCTCATTTGTAACTGCTCTGTCCAAGAGTTCTCTCATAAAATTCAATCCACCAATTTTCTTCCACCAAGTGAATTTTAACCCCGATGCACCTAGATCAATAAGCTTACAATGATTCACGCATTCCCTCATTTGGTTGCAATTATTAAACTTGACTACGCCTCACCTTGTTTTTTCATTCAAAAAAAGAAATTGATTGAAATCACCAATTAATATCTAGGTAAATCATGCATACCACTAGCCGAACATAAAGAACTCCATAATTGCTTCCTTTCCGCCACAATGAGACTACGATAAATAACAGTTAATAATCAGACTTTATTTTCGTAGTTAACCTTTATGTGGATTAATTGAGAATAGTAGGCCAGTGTTTCTAAATCAGTGAAGCTTGCATCCCACATCACCTAAATTCCTCTTGAGAACTCAATGGCTTTTACATGAAAAGAATCTAGTAGACCAATTCTCTTACATATTCTATTTGTCTTTTCTTTTTAAACTCTCGAAGAATAAAAAAATGTAGATCATGCAATCTAATTAAATTCTTAATATTTCTAATGCATTATCAAAAAATTGCTCCTCTCACATTCCCAATCAAGACTTTCAACATCAAATAAAAACTAATGGACAAAATAATCAAAGTACAAAATAAACACATACACAGAAGGCTCTAACATTAGCAAGATTAAACTTGGATAACATCATTATCACCTTCTTCTAAATCCATAGCTTCTAACCTCCCACCAAAGCTAGTTTGCATGTCACCAATATCATTTGAAAACTATACCTATTTTACCCTTGCAACCTTATTAATCCCAACCTTGATATTAGCTGTGTTAATAGCCATTTTCTTTAAAGCAAAGATAGGACCCCATTAATCCCAACACACACTTTTAGTGAAGAAATTCTGAAAAATCACTGTATAAATCACCATTAAAAGCTGTACAATTGTGCTGCTATAGTTTGATAAGTCCCAATTGATGTATAAAAGTCAAAAATGAAAACCCAATGAGGGCTCTACTAAAGGAAGTAGACATCAAACTTTCAAGTATGTCGAAATCTTTTTCTTATGATTTTTTTAGATTAGTTTCAATTAAAGTGATCCGTGGGCTTCAAGGATTAAAATTTTAATATTTCACTGTATATGATCCATGTTAGCATGATTCAAATCCCCTTCAACTTCCTCATCTTCTAACACGTAAAAACATGACCCAGATTTAATAATAGTTTTGGAACTTTACAGTGGAATAGACCTTTTATCTTCTGTTATCAAGCCTCTTTCTGTCCTATTTTTACGTTTTTTTTTCGATAAACCTTTTGGCTATCATCCAAGGATTGAATTTCGAAGCTTCAAAGTCCTTTTCAGTCACCTTGACTTCGGCTAATTTGATAGCTTACTTCTCAGAAAAGCCTCTTATTCCATTTGCCTAACAAGACATAATTCTGCACCATGACCAAATTAACCACAGTGGAAACATAGCATACGGAGTACTTCAGATTTGATTTTTTACCATTTTCGTCTTATGAAAACTTTAGAAACCAATAGCTTGGTAAGGTCAAGTTCGATACACAAACGAACAAACTTCCTTCTCTTGGCGTAAGAAGTGGATTAATGAATCTTGCTAGTTTTAACTAACTCCTCACTAATCCTAATTACAACATGCTTGTCGTAAAATTTTAATGGTAACCCCGACAAACATATCCATGCTGCAATAGATTCTATCGAAGCTTCTTCAGATAGAAACCTTGGAGTCTATTTTCTGAGTGTGAGATAATAGCCAGCTATTATCCAAGGACCATTTGAGAATACATGATTAAAATCAAATTTTTTTTTTTAGAACTTGAAACAATAAAAGCCATTATCCAAATACATTGCTTAGAAATCACCCACTATTGATCATAACTGTTTAACTTTGTTATACAGATATGTGTAGCTAATATCCCTCCCAAGTAGCTTCACAATTAATGTATTCCTCCGTGGCATACAAATATGTTTCTTTTCTCCTTTATTAATCTGATATAAAGACCACCAAGAACTCCTTCAAATGCATCATCGTCAAAATCTAAATCGTCCAAGATTTGACCTTTTTCCTTTGACTCTTCAACATCAAAATACCTAACAAGGTCATCATGCATTAATATATTATGGTATGATGACTTAGGGTTCCCATCTTGATTTCTAGATTGAATAGGCTTGTTTTGAGAATGCAAATCAATAGTGGATACATTGTTATCCATGCTCATCCATTCACATTTGACTCCCACGTGAACATGATTTTCATTTGAACCAACAACAATAGGTGGTGGCGATTGGCCACTAGAGGAATCTACCTCCATAAGAGGCGAACGTTGGGGTTTTTTGAACTTAGGTGAAAGATAGCAGATTTTGCTAAATGCGCACTAAGAGAAATCCTATTCTAAGTTAAAGTTAAAGAACTGTCACAATATCTCAATTTTTTTAATGCCTTTAATGTTAAGAATGTCGAATAATATTTTCACAATAAACATTTAATTATGATATTACTTAATGGTGCTATATCATTTTAGAGAATATCTAATTTAAAATCATGCTTAATTTACTGAAACAAAATTTGAACTTAAATACAACGTTAATGATTCATAGATTGATATGTATTTTGTCTGATAAAAAATATTAACTTAGCAATCCACTTACTTCAAATAAAAAAGAAATTAAATTAGACAGCTATGTTCAATAACAAAGCCATAATAGAAGCGGCTGAGATCTATCCACATCATCATTCAGCCTTCCCCTCTGGTGCAAACTTCCAAAACACATGGTCTCCTCGTCAGCATTCAGCACATCAAAGGCAGCCCGCAGACGAACAACATTGCATCCATTAAAATGCACAAAGCAAAATAAGACACCTCCTTTCTTTCATTTATTAAGTCAAGAAAATTCAAGTGCCTGTTCTGTTTGGTTGTGCAAACTTTCACAATTCCAGCAAGTATCAAGCGATCCCAAATCAGAAGACAGAAAACCAGGCAAGGAAGACTTAATACGACGCCAAAGCCGAAAAGCCAAAAGAGGTGGCGGGGAACTGGTGGATGGCAAGAACCAACAAATATACCTCCATTAATTTCAATCATGTCCTTGAGAAGAACCTGACCTCCCCTTCCAATTCCACCAAAACTAAAAATCCACAATCCCACCACCCAAACCAACCTCCTCCGTCTTTTTCTTCTTATTCTTCCATCTCAGCCGCAGCCAACGCCAAAACCCATGGCCGCATGCTCGTCCTGACCCGGCCCTCTCCCAAGCCCATTGCAAACCCTCCTCTTGTCTCCCCAACACCGCCCAAACAGTCTCAACCCCATCAACTCCAAACCCGGTCAGCTCCAGCTCCAGCTCCAGATCCAGATCCAGATCAAACACTGCCGTCGGATCCGGCTCCTGATCAGATTTCTCTACGTCCTCTTGGTCGAACCGGGTCCGGGATATCCATTCCGGTTCAGGAGAGGGAGAAGGAAGTTGTGCCGGTTTCTGTGTCGCCGAAGCCGGATCGATTCGTTCCGCCTCATCTTAGGCCGGGTTTTGTGGGGAGAGAGGAGAGGCCTGGACCCCAAGTGTTCCGTGGAAGAGAACAGAGTCAGAAGCATTTCGGGTCGCCGGGTCGGTATGGTGAAGATGGGCGGCCCAAGTCAGGTGGTTACGAGAAGATGAGAGGAGGTGGTGAATCAGATCTGGGTTGGACTGATCGGCCCAGATCCAGTGGGAATCGCCCTAGTTCTAGTGGATGGTACGTCTCCACTTCTTACTAAGTATCGATTGGTCTTAAAAACTTCCTAATTTCATTTTCTTGGTAGGAAATGAATTGCAGGTAATCCTAGATTGGGATGTTAGCTAGAGTAGAGGAAGAAAATATTGAATGTCTAGAGATAGGCTTTCTTAAACTATGAACAGATCTGGAGAAAATCCAAAGAGATGACTTCCCGATACTCACCGGGGGACCTAATTGATCGTCTTTACTATATAATTGTAACATATCTTTGGCTCTTAAAAATAAAGAAATAGGTCTGGATATTGGATTTTTGGACAAAGAATTGACTGTTTAGATCTTTAAGTTGGCTCATTATATAATTGTTGGAATTTTCTTAAAGGAAGGCTCCTTGTCTCCTTCCATTATTTCTTTTCTTTTTTCTATTCATCAGTTAGATTACAAGCTAACCTTTAAACAATTGAGCCAAAACAGGCTAAGTCATTCTGGTCTAGATATTTTCTGAAACTTGTGGGTGTTAGATAGAAATGTTTAAGGGTTTGGTGGGGTTTAGTAAAATTTTAGTTCATTTTTACCATTAAAGGGAAAATGCATAGTAGGTTATGTCAACCATGTATTTTTTAAAACAAAAAACAAATGAAGAAATATCAATATAATTTTGAATTTACATTTATGTTACTTATAACAAATATGGACATTGGAAATTGTATGTTGAGGTAATCTCACTGATGTTTTATTTTTCATATGGGCACTATAAATTGCTATTATATTAAGGGTAAACTTCATTTACAACTTTTGTGGTTTCAACGTTTCTCACATAGCATCATGTAGTTTCTTTTTTCTCAATTAACATGTTGTGGATGATTCTTGTTCCTATTAGAATGTCACATTTGCCGAATAAAATTGTCAAAATATTCCCAATTCAAAGTTAGATTAGTTGTTCACACTTAAAGGTATTTTTGTAATTTTACCAGATAAAATTAACGGCCTAATCCTTTGAGAAGAGAAGTTATTAGTAGGATGCTAATTAGGAAAAAAAAAATTCACAAGATGTTCAATTGAGAGAAAAGATATCACAAGATGCTGTGTTGAAAAAGTTGAAATCATAAAGAGTGTAGGTGGAGTTTATCTTATAATTTTTTTTTTTTTTGAAAAGCGTTATCTTTTCTCTCTTTTTTTTTTTCACATTTGGAGGAAGAAGGATTCGAATCCTATTCTTTTTGAAAGGAAGATCATGCACCAACTAATGAACCAATGAAAAGCATTTATCTTATAATTAATAGTATTATATGATATTAGCATCTGACTAGAATCAACCCATATTAGTCTGAATAACTAAAATTAATGTGTTTTTTTTTTTCTTTTTTTGTTTAATTTTTTAGAAATAATAAGCATTTCTGACTCTGGTTTTCAATTCTAAATTGGTGTACTGAGACTTGAGGTTTTATGCAAGTGAAACTGGACCCTTAAGATTTATATCTTGTCTGTCTGCCATGAGTTGGCTTGTCAACAGTGCTTAAATCTTGAAAGGAATTAAAGTGAGGGTTATTTCTTAATTTGCCACTTCCTTTTGGCAAGTTCCAGAATTTTGATGAAGCCTTGTTGTTCTATGGCATCTGGGGGTTGCCACAACCGAACCTACATTATTAGCATTTTGATCTCTGCCTTTCACCCACCTTTCTTGATCAGTACAGTAGAAATGTCATTGAACATGTTATTCTTTGTGCACATTATTCATTGTATTTTGTAATGTAGCTGATTTTCATTCTTTTTTCCCCTTCTTGTTCTTGAAATTCTTGTAATTACTTGGGAAGTTGATGGGTAAGCACTCTCATTTCCACTATTAGCTCTTTCTTCATTACTCTCTTTGTTGCTTTTTTCTTTTTGTTCTCTGCCTCCTCTCCGCTTTTCTCTTAAATTTTGCCTTTGAATTGCGTTGCACCTGCACCTTTCCATGTGTTATGTGTGGCCTTGATTGTGATTTGTTGTTGGAGAGACATTTTACTTTGTTTATATGTGTGAAATTCAAACTGAATAAATGCCCTTTTGCAGAGTTCGTTCTGAAGAACTTGTTTCAAAGATGGAGGTGGAACTTTCTTGAAAGCATAGATGGACACCTAATTGTGAACGGCTGCCGCCTCTGCCCCTCAGTAAATCACTTTATTTTTTAAAAGTTGGATAGAATCTCATTTCGTGGAAGATAAAATACAGCCAGGTGGCACCGTTTGAGGTGTTCTATTCGAAAATAGAGGTTTGAGGACTGAAGTCCTTTCAGAGCTGAGAGATTAGCTGACTTGTAAGAATAGATGAAGGTGTCCTATGGAATGTAGAATTTACGTTATGTTATTTTTCCTGTTCAACCACTTCAACTTTTACGAACGGGCTCAAATGTTGCCCCTCTCCTTATTCTTCCTCTTGGTTGTACTTGAAGATCCTTCCAGTTTGACAAATATTTATTTAATGTTTCTCCTCCTCCTATCGAAATTTATGATTAGAGCCTGCCGGAGACAGATTTACATTAATAGTCCAAATCTTGTCTATGCTGTCTCAAGGAGATGACGGAATAGGGCAATTGGCCCATGCAGCTTTCTTTCGGCTTGTAAAATAATCAAGGGATATATGTAGTGGGTATGTTACTGATTAAACAGGCTTCAACTACTTTATAAATAGGTAGAGATAATGTTAAGAGTACAGATTCGAATAGGCTTTCATTATAGTGTTTTACTTTTTCTTTTGTTTCTTTATACTTCTGGCAAATTCTCCATCTTCATCTCACATCCTTAGTCCCCCTTCTCTCCTCTCCATGTGTTGTTTCCTTGTGCTGCAACTGCAAGCACCCATACCAAAGTACTGCACCAGCTTTGATTTTACTCGTGTCATTGTCTTTTTCTTTCTCCATGTTCCCATTCTTCTCCTTTTTTTATTCTATTCTCTGTTGACAAATATCAACATTAGATCTGAGTGTTTTCCCCATATTTCAATATACTTTGTATTTTTCATGCTGATTGTTTTGATATTTTTATAGTCATTACAGATTTTTTAATGGCATTCTTTAGATTGTCCAAGTTTTCTCTAGATTTTAATAGAATAGAGTTTGCATTTTTTATTTTTAATCTAGTTCGAATTTTTTTTAAAAAAAACAATAACTATATGACTCGTTGTCAAAATTAAAATGTATAAAATCAAAATACATAAATGCTATGAATGATTTACAAACATTTAATATGGTCATACATAATCATTTAAATAAATCTAAGTAAAATATGGTGGCATATATTCTGATCTTTATTAATAATAGAACTAAAATTTTTAATGAAATATTGATGTTTAATGTTATGCTTTGAACCACGAATTTATATTACGATTACACTTCTATCACGAAAAAAGAATCCTAAAAAATTAACATTAATTTATTTTTGATACCATGAATATTAACTAGACATTAAGTTTATAATAAAATATAAATATTTTAAAAAATAAAAAGTATATCAACTATAGCAGTACATTCGTGATACATGTTCTGCAGTTTACGTATAAATAATTACTTTCAACACATTAAAGTTTTTCCGTTCAACTTTATGTTTCATTAAATTTATCATTATTAACAAAATATGATTATGTTCTCACTAATACATATTAAGACAGAAATTTTCGAATGTAAAAAATCATATATATCCATAATAAATAAATGGGCTTAAAGGCCTAAAAACCCATAATTGGGTTGAGCCCGAACAAAACGACGTAGCCGAAAGAGCCACTGGGTTTTCCGCATTGGGTCCGAGCCATAGTCTTTACTAAAACCCCTCCCCAACTTTCTTGATGTACTAGTAACGTATAAACCCTAAACCCTTTTTCGCTTTCTCTTTCGACCCCAATAGACCCCCTTCGCCCTCTCTTCCTCTCTTCGACGCTGGGATTTCTAAGGTATTTTGAATCCGCATTTCTTACTTTCTTTTTTTCAAAGAAAAGTTATAAGATCATGTTTTGTTATGTTTGTTTGCTACGAAATTCTGGGCAAATAGGGTAGAAAGCAGCCTTCTAGGTGCTAGGTTGAGGTTTCTTTTTCCCCCATTTCTATTCGTTTTTGTTAATTCATATCTCTCTGGTCAAGGCGATGTCAGCCGCCACCGTCCAAAGCGGCGGCGGTGCAATGTTATTCCCTTTTTGTTTTCCGTGGAAGTTAGATTGGGGCTTTGAGGCGTTTTTTTTTTTTCTACTACTATAATTTTTTGCATTTGATTTGACATGAAATGACCATGGTTTTCTTGGATTTTTGCAATGTTGTTTGTATTTTCATTTTCAAAACTGAGGGAAACCCATTTTGCATTAAAAGAAAAGATGGAGCTTTGAGTAGGCGTGCGCATGATTATGTTGTTTAAATCTAAGACTTGTATGGAGCGTTGAGCAACAAATTATGTGAATCAACGTGTTATGGCAAAACGGGTAGGATAAATGCCGTTTATGTTTGTAGTTATGTTTGTGAATCCTCTCTTTTTCATCTTATATGTTTCCTTTTTTCTAATCATCAAAAGTTTTAGCTGGGTTCTGTTCTTTGTAGAGGAAATAGTTTGGGTTACACTTCTTTCTGGCTATCTGGCTTAACCATATGGAGGCAGAAAAGAAACATTTTGGAAGCCTAGTCTCTAATAGACAGAGTGCTTGCTATCGACTTTATTTCAGGTTGCATGTGTGTAAACATCTATGTATTTGCCCTCTTGCTTGTTTTAATTTAGAGTTGCTTAAACTGTTTCTCTGAGTGACATCTTACCTCTAGTCTAATCTTGACCATGGATCATAAGCATACTGACTTTGCTTATAATGAAGATTCTATGTGTCTTAGTAGTTGTTAAGTAGTTGCTCTCTTATTATTTTCTCCCTGTTCCTGTTGTTTTCATCTTTATGTATAAACCTACTGTTGCATAATTTGCTTGACGTTTGGTTTTTGTTTACTTCTGGGTTCTTTCGCAATGTGACATCAAAATTTTATTTTTTCAGCATCGAGGAAAATGAATTTCAACAATGTCAAAGTTCCTAAAATGCCAGGAGGTGGAGCTCTTCCTGCTTTGCTTAAGATTGGAGTCATTGGTGGGCTCGGCCTTTATGGAGTTGCCAACAGTCTCTACAATGTTGATGGAGGGCATCGAGCAATTGTTTTCAATCGTGTATCGGGCATCAAAGATAAGGTCATTTTTGTGTAATGTTCTATTAGTTGACGTTTTATACAGAAAGACTATTCTTCCCCAATGTCTATTGTTTATAGATATTATAATACTTTGGGACATTTGCATATCTTGTCAACTTCTGTAAAAGGATGTCTATGGCTATGTATTCTCTATGGATTGACTATTGCCTTGCGGCTTGTGCTATCTTTCATAAATGACCTAGATTTTTTCTTCTCTCCTGCTATCAACACACTTGTTTACTATCTTTATTTTTGGTTTAAATTTCTGTTTTGCAATGTGTCATGTAGTTTACTGATTGTTTGTTCAGGTTTATCCTGAGGGGACACACCTTATGATTCCATGGTTTGAGAGGCCCATCATCTATGATGTTCGTGCAAGACCTCATCTAGTTGAGAGCACTTCTGGTAGTCGTGATCTCCAGATGGTAAGTGCTAATTTTCTCTTTTCAGATAGATTTTTTCTGTTGTATTCAAAAACTTTCTGCCATTACCTTGTTGCTTTTCAGTTTTCTAAAATGATAAAGTTAATCTCGGCTTATTTTAGTATTTTGCTGTACTTAACAATTCATGCTCTACCGCTGCTGAGATGAGACTAGTTTTTGATAAAAGTTGTGTAAGCATGATTAAGTATTGAGAATAGGTGGAAACTTAAAATTGGAAACGGTTGCAGGAAGAAATTCTGTCTTTAGAAATTGAACCCATTTCTGAACTATCCTCTGCAGGTGAAGATTGGGCTTCGAGTTCTCACTCGCCCTAACGCAAATGAACTACCTCAAATTTATCGAACCCTCGGTGAGAATTATAATGAGAGGGTCCTGCCTTCAATTATTCATGAAACTTTAAAAGCTGTGGTTGCTCAGTACAATGCCAGCCAACTCATTACTCAGAGAGAGGTAGGTGTCCAGGCATATTCTTGTTTGTAGTGTTATGTATGTTCTACTAATAGCATAATGGTTTGGATTTATTGTTTGAAGTTGAACTTTTGTTCTTTTAGACTGTTAGTAGGGAGATTCGGAAGATTTTGACAGAAAGGGCAACTAACTTCAACATTGAACTGGACGATGTGTCCATTACAAGCCTGACTTTTGGAAAGGAATTCACAGCTGCAATCGAGGCCAAACAGGTTGCTGCACAAGAAGCTGAGAGAGCTAAATTTATTGTGGAAAAGGCTGAACAGGACAAAAAAAGTGCTGTTATCCGAGCACAGGTGAGACACATAAAGTGGTCAATATTCACTCTGCCTTTGGGAGTTATGGATTGTACAGAAAAAAAAAAGGAAGAAAATAAAGGACCAAAGAAGAGGCCAAGAGGGTAAAAGGGATAAATTTGCTATAAAAATTAGATGATAAATTGCACCTGAATGGTAGTCTTAAGTAGATGAGGGTAAAATGGCTAGGCTATTTCCTATAAAATGCAAGCAAACAAACCGTCTGAAATAGATTTACTTTCCAGTTGTTTTTGCTTTGCTCATAAGATTGTGGGAGTTCTTTGTGCTTTGAATGGGTTGACCATTTTACCCATCTAAAGTGTTTGTCTTTTCTGGTTGCCAGGGTGAAGCCAAGAGTGCCCAGCTCATTGGTGAAGCTATTGCAAACAATCCAGCATTCATCACACTGAGGAAAATTGAAGCTTCTAGAGAAATTGCACAGACCATCTCCCATTCAGCCAACAAAGTCTACTTGAATTCCAAAGATCTGTTGCTGAACCTTCAGGAGATGAATCTGGAAACCAACCCAAAGAAATAGGCATGTTAAGTTGAAAACTTGGTTACCTCCCCATGGTAGTTTCATTTCTCACATTGTTCGATCATGAGAACGATTAATAACTCATTGGTGACAAAAGTAAAGGCATATCTGTCTTCCCATGGATTTTTGTAAGAGTTTATTTTGTCTGAGGATTCGTGTTCAACAATCACATTTGTTAGAATTAGGACTGTTGGGCTTGAGGTATAAAAGAGCTGTAGCATATATGTTTCCCTCATTATGGTCCACCTATATTATCTTCCGAGGTTGATTTCATTTCTTTGTTAGCAAGACACTGGCCATTTTTCTTGTTCAAACAAAAAACCTTTCGTTTTTCTCTCTCTGGAAGCCGATATCTCTGGTTCATCCAGAAGTTAGTGGGAGTACATCTATGCATTTTTTATATTATGCTAAGCCAGAATATTAATTAATACTGGTAGTGCCATTTTCTTTGAGTGAATGCATATTTTTCCTTGGTAGTGTTATTGTTTCCAATCCCTTCCTCCTCAAACCATAAAAGAAAAATGATAAAGTAGCAAACGGAAAAAGGAAAATAAAAGTAAG